TCATTTATTATTATAAAGATAATAATTTATTGGTAGCAAATATTTAAACACATTTCAGAAAAAAAGATTCAATGACTGTAATGACATTCTTTATGTTTTCAGTAAACTTCAGATGTTGACACTAAATTCCTTAAATGTGCTTAAGCACAGGAAATAAATATAAAAAACATTCTAACAAAACAGTTCTGTAACAAGAATTCCATATAAAGTAACTTTCGAACTAGGTAGGAAAAAAAAAATCTAGTTGTTGAGCTATGAAAGGAGAGAAAAAAGGCCTTACACCCGCAATTGCCCGGCTAGCTCAGTCGGTAGAGCATGGGACTCTTAATCCCAGGGTCGTGGGTTCGAGCCCCACGTTGGGCGCAGCTTTTTGATTGAAGAGCTTTCGTTTTCTCAAACATTTACGTTTTAGTATGACTTAGATTTCCTTACATTTAAAAGTTTTAGCTTGACTAAGGAGAATTATTTACATAATTGAAAATATTTAAAATATTAGCCAGCTCTTTGGAAGAAACACTACTGTACTGCGATTTGCAAACGTAAAACCTCGCAAGCTGCGCTTGCGTACTCGAAGGCACGCAATCAACTTCCCTTGGGTCCCTCCCAAGCTCGCACTTCTGCACGAAGAAAGCAAAAAGACCACTGTTGGAGGTGGAGGCAGGGATTCTGTGTTACACTGCATTCTTCAGGGGCCCAACTTTGGCTGCTTTTTAAAATTTGGAGGTCCGATGTAAAAGCAGTTGGGGTCGCTGGAGGACGCTATGGAAAAAACAGCAGTTTCTCTTCCTCCTGTTTACTTTCCCATGTCCACCTGTCAATGCAGTGCCTATCCTAGGGTCAGATTTACACAGCTAGTGTGTATCAGCTTTTTCCCACTTGGGACCATACTTTGCCATTACTGGATGGATATTGTTGTTAGGTGTCGTGACCCGTAGCCAGCGACCTTATGTACAAACAGAACGAAGCACTTGGGCCATCCTCACAATTACAATGTTTGTGTCCACTGTTGCAGCTACCGTGCCAACCCATAGGACGCGAATCTGTGGAAAGTGAAGCTCTTTGCAAGGGAAGCGGTGGAGAATTGCGATGTGAAAGGTAGAAGAGGCAATTACAGACTTGAAGACGGGTTTCTGTCTCCTTGGCCCTTTGCAGACAACTTAACAGGCTCACACACTCCCACTAGTTGGAAGACCCCTTGAGTGAAGGGTTTTGCTTCTGCTTGAAGCCAACCCTACCTAAAGCACTAGATATACACCCTCCTCAGTTACCCACTCAATTAGCTCCCCATTTCACGGTCTACTGTTCCCTTCAACATACAACAGGCTGATCTTTTTCAATCTTAAAACATTTGACCCCATTTCTGGCTTAAATTTTCTCTGCGCCTTCTCGGGCAGTCACCACTTCTCTCATCCCATCTCTTCATCTAGCTCAGTGATCTGCAAACTTTTAAAAGAAAATCATTTTATTGGGGGCACGTACAAGTCATCACAATCCATACAT